CGCTGCCCCCGGGCCTCGCTGCTGCAGGCGCGGAGCGGCCTTGTGGAGGCGGAGACCTCTCGGACGCACCCGGATCCCCACAAGGCTCCGGAACGACCCCGGGGGCAGGAGCAGCAGCTGTATACGTGTGCAAGGCTCACCCCCCGCGGGCCCCCGAAGCAGCCTCCTGGCTAGCTTTGTTAGGCTTGAGCACCCGGGTGTCCGGGTGTTGTGTGCCGGAGCCAGCCCGGGGCCCACGCCACCTCCCGGATCCCAGCCTGTGCTCTGCGCCCTCCGTACCGCCTGTGTGCCGCTGCCGCCTCGAGTGACCCTTGGCCGCGAACCCCGCGATGTCCCAGCGCGTTGACAAATCCAATGATCCCATTCGGAAACAAGTAGAAAGTAAACGTCTCTTGGCCTTTCCTTAATGGCCGACTTGGGAATTAAGCTGGGGTGAGCACAGCTGTACGGTTTAGGGGCTAGGTCCTTGCACACTGTAGGACTCCAACACGTTTCTGGCGGTTTTTAAGTTTTTTCTCAGGCGTTTTCATATTCTTTTGGACGCATCGAAATCGAGTGCTGGAGGCACCTTTGCAGTTAATTCGCTGGGAGGAACTTCCTCCTCGAAACATCCAAAAGTGAAGGACAGGCGCGGAAGTTAAGAGACTGGCGAAGATTCGGATTAACTATAGCTGAACTTTGGCACTGTAAAGTTTAGGGAACCCTGAATCCGTTTTGTCAGGTTAAAAACTCGGCCCTGGTCACGGACTTCGATGCGCCCCGCAAGAGTCCCTAGGGCGACCACACCGAGGGCCGAGCAGGGGTGGCCGCAGGCACCCTTGAGCCCGAAGTCAGCACGGTTGTGGGATAATTTATTACTTTAAAAAATAGGCTAGCCAACTTTTATGATTAACCTATTATAAGCTGTTCGGAGGCAAATACTAATTTTTTTGCTGTGAGAATTAGACTTGCTAAAGGGGGGGGTAAGAGTTTGTCACAGGGTGGTGTAAAGTTTGACAAAGCAGGTATACGTCTTCGCCGGAATGGAGAAAAATATTAGAAAAGACAGGGTAAGGAGTGTATTAAATAAAACTAAGGACTCCTTGGGTCTTTTTGTTGTTGTGGAGGTGAAGGAGCAGTATCTGCGCAGCAAGTCAGCCAAGATTAGAACAGGCGATATGCTAAAAAGAAACGCTTGCATATGTTGGGTAGATTAAGGACAAAGAATCTTTTTGTCATGGAAATGGATTTTTTTGTTTTGTTTACTTCTTCACATAGAATTTCTCACACTTGGTTTGTTTTGTATTGCCCTCAATGACTACATGATCAAATGAATGGATTTATTTCTACCGAATGAGAAAGACAGTCTTCCCTTCAAAAGAACTACATTGCATCCCAGTGAGGAATTTTAAAGCTTTATTATTGTGGCTCCTGAATAGCTTAAAATCGGCTTTCACAGCCGCCCCAAAATGCAACAATGTAAATACTTCTCAGCTTTGTAGGGTCGTTATCAAAATGTGCAATGTCTGCTTTTATTAAAGCATATTTTAATTAATAGAGTAAAACCTCTTGTATTTAACAATTAACAAGCTGAGGCACTGCTGTTCATTTTTCATTTCACTTTAGAAATGTGAGCGTGATGAACTTAATAGTGTAAACATGTTGGGAGGACATATAGTGTTGAAACCCTCAGATGGAGTAATTATTTAAGAGTTCTATTTTGAATTCGCCTTGCTGCTCGAATTTGTTTAGAGATTCACCACACCCAGGCTTTCCACCATCATAGGAGTGGAGTTTTTGTCAACCCTGTGTTTTCCACAGCCATTCTGAGTTCTAATCACGATGTTGATCATATTTTGCAACAGGCCAGAAATAGCCTGTCTGGGGCTGATCCCTAGGAAAGTAGTGTATTTCCATGCCTGTTTGAAGGGTAGTTCAGGCAAACTATTAAAACAAGTTCTTTCTGCTTTAATTGTTCTGAAGCAGATTGTTCATGGAGCATAAAAGATACTCTGTTCCCTGTGAAGTCAAGGAATGCTTCTGTGTGTATTACTCTAAGATAACCAACTAAAGTTTTTTTTTAAGACAAATGGTTGTACAAACTAAATTACTCCAACATGAACCAGATCTCAAAATTTTAATTTTGTTAAATGCCGTGGGAATAAACATGTCATGCGTGGAGTTATAATTGAGCTAAGTTAGTGCACAGTGTTTTAGAAATGAAGTAAATAATTCCTTTGCATCACTTTGGGCATAACATATTAATTAAAGCAACGGGCCCATCTACATGCAGTAAATTGATGTCATGAAAAACAAATACAGTATGCAAAAAATTTAATATAATGGTGGACAAAGAAGCAGAGGCACATTACTTTATAGTTACAAGCCCATATTTCTGTAACTTCTTTTTCAGGCTTCGGTTTGTAGGCAAGCAATGAAAAAAATGCTATAAAAATTAGATTTGGAGCTATCCCAGCCTTATCACTGAAGAAATCAAATGATGATGTATTTAGAATGAGAAAAACGTAATGCAAAGTTCTAAAGTTACCCTTTCGTAAAAATTTATTTTAAGGTCATTCAGACTTACATTCCCAATAGCAACTGTCTTTTAAAATTACTTATTTGCTAATTATTTCATTCCCATTATAGAAGTAAATGCTCTGGAGTTAAGTTAAATCTATGCCACCAATAATGATATCCTTTGAACCAGCTGAAGATTTTTGTTCTAAGAAAAACTAATTAAAACTTCCAATGACAGTGCCGCACTTAACTCCCACTAAGAACTTCAAAAGGTGTAATATTGCTATCCTGTGTTGCATAAATGCAATTTAATAAAGAAACATTTTCCTGTCTTTAGAGAGTATTTAAAGAAGAACAAAAGGATATTACAATTTAAAACAGTTTGCCTCTTGCATTTTGTTGGTACTAATTGCTTCAAAGTGTTTTTATTTTCTGCCAACTTATAGTATATGGCTATTTTAAGAATCCTTTCAAATATGGTGAGCCTGTGACCTAAGGATTTACCCGAGGAATTCACAGGCTGTGTTTAAATTCAGGGAAAGAAGGCCATCAGCACTCGGTGAAGAGGTCTTTTTTCTTTTATCTGTAGATCCAGGGTTTGCCTTCAGCTCCCCCAGCACACTACCCACATTTACAATTCAGCATACCAAAAGGGACAATGCAGAAGCCACTTTCTAACATCCACAAGCAGACTGTTTTCTCTGAAACATGAAAGGTAAAAAGTAACCAGGGAAGAGAAGGAAAATAACCTGCAAACATTTCTTTTAAAAATAGCATTTACAAACTTAACCCATTTTAAAATGCACATTGCTGTGATCAACAGAAAAGGGGGCCCATTAATTCTACCTTTCAGAGAGCTGATTATGTGACAAAGAGGGAATTTTTGTGTACAATGCGTTTCAAACTTTCACAGCATATGCATAATCCAGAATTTTTCAGTGTGTTCAAAGCCAAAGAAAGGAAAAGGTATGGAGTAACAGCAGGAATTACTTAGCAAGCTGATTATTTTTTGTATCCACGATTCTGGTGAAAGCAGGCAAAAGTGGGTCAGATTTCATTTTCAGCTTCAATCTCTAAGAAGCTCTACCATTCATCTCCAGGTAGCCTTAAGAACATTTTCTTTCAGGGGAAAATGCAGCAAAGAGACAGCCAAAGTTTCTATTCTGCAGCCTGACCATCAGTTGGAATTTAACATTCTTCAATGTAAGTATTGGCACAGGCTTTGATTTAAGTAAATTTAAAATCTTTTTAACTGCTAATAAGGTAATTCCTGATCTTATAACACTGCAAGATAGTTTCAAGAAGCATACTTTTAAAATAATGTAACAGGAAGGGTATTTTTTTGTTTGGGATTTTTTTTTTTTTTCTGTTTTATTGGCTTTGCTTTTCCTCCATGATTTCTTGACTCATGCCCAGAATGAGATCAACATATCTTAGTCTCTTGAAGATGTGAACTAATTCTGCTATGGTTAGTGTAGCTTTGTAACTACAGCATATGTTAAGTTGCTGCATATTTCATATAAAATCAGATATAGATAAAACCTATGTAAAAATTGAATATTTTACTGTTACTTTAAGTAAATTCTGATTTTAAACGGCTTGTTTTTTTTTCTCTTGTAGTTTCAACATGTTTGTGATTTAAAATACAGTTAAGCGTGTGATTTCCAAGCAAATAAAGAGGGGAAGATTATGTTATAAAAAGTATAAAATATTAACAGCGTAATGGGATGGCCTCTATGTTACAGATTAAGATTGGTTTCTTAATTAGAGGGAAGAATTTTCAAGTGTCCACCAAAGAGAGCTGATGAGGCCAGTTGGTGTCTAAATATTTTCATCTGAGGGCCTTTTTAAATCACCCCCAGATTAATTCTACATGCTATCAAGAGATCCTACCCCCTTGGCATTCTCTGCAAACAGCGGTCACACGGCGTGGCATGTAAGACCTTTTTGTCTGCTGTCTGTGGACGGTGGGTTGCAGAGTGCTGGCCAGCTTCTGACAGACTCTCCCTGAAGGTGGGTAGTTAGGAGTGCTTTGACAAACCTTGCTGATTTAACCTTTGCCTGCTTTGCCCTGCCAGGGGTGGCCACTAGATGTCAAGCTCATAATACAATTAGTGCATCTGTGCTGTTGACCTTGGCAACAGGACTCACCACTGTTCTGTTAAG